GAGTAGAGTAAAAGAGAGATGAGCACTAGAGAATAAAAGCTAGAGTAGTGCTAAACAAGAGAGTAGAGTAGGTTGTGCGATGGGGAACCTGTGAGTATGGGTAGAGTATTCCCGCATGTACGCCACATTGAGAGAGCGACATGAGTATGAGAGAGAAGTGGTGTAGCCCGTGAGAGTGCATGCGGATGAGGGCTATACCGAGAGAGAGTTATGCACTCACATGGCCAAAGGTTCCGAATCCATGCATAACCGAGTCCGATCGGCTGAATGATTAGAAGTCACAGAGAGCGAGGAGCGAGTCCGGCCGTGCCTTCGATAAGATGAGGTCGTGACTACAAAAGAGACTAGTAGCAAGAGTTATAAGAAAGAGAAAATAGAGAGAATTGTTTTTAAAGAGAGAGTAAATGAGAATTGTAAGGAAAGAATTAGAGAGAGAGTTGCAAGGGATAGATAAGTAGTGGTTTTACTTACTGAGCCTTGATTGTGCTCACCTCGTTGTTTCCTATGTTTTGCAAGATCTAGGTGAGGACACAGGGGATGGACGTCATCAAGTGAAGAGAACTGGCTACACTGTCTACTTGTTTTTGATAGTTTTGTACAATGATACAACTTTTGTATAAGAATGTATATGTTTAATAAAAGAAAAATTTGGGCCCACCTAATATGCTATTTACATGTATTTTACTATGTATATTTTAAAAGAATATGAGTAGAATGGAGTTGTTTATAACAACGCATGACATGTTCACATTCCATATTGCATTATTGCATCCAAACATATGAATTTAGAAAGAATAATAAGCATGACCCCATTTACATGCATACATACTCATAAGAGCATTAAAGAGCATTAAAGAACAAAGAGAAAGAAAAGAGAAATATTAAAGAACACTTTTAAAGAAGAGAAGAGAAGGTTGTTGCGATGGGAAACCCGTGAGTGACCTAGCCCCGCATACACGCCGCCTTTAGTGAGCAGCCGCATAATTAGAAAGAAGAATTGTATAGTCTGTTAGAAGTGCATGTGCATGAGGACTGTACTCAGAATTAGAGAATACACTCACACTGCCAGGGTTTGGAATCTATGCCTCAACCGAGTCCGATCGGCAAGAAAAGAAAGAATATAAAAGAAAAGAAATAATAGAAAAGAAAAGAAAGAAAGAAATAATAGAAAAGAAAAGAAAGAATAAAAAGAAAGAAAGAAAGAATAGAAAGAAAAGAAAGAATAGAAAAGAAAGAAAAGAATAGAAAAGAAAGAAAAGAATAGAAAGAAAGGAAGCATAAAAAGAAATACAAAGAAAAGAAACAGAAAACAGAATAAGAAAATAGAAAAACTGAAAAACTGAAAAGAAAATGCACATCCTATGCATGATACCATGCCTACTATCATGAGTAGTGGGAAATTAGAAATTGAGAAAGAACACAGAAGAATAGAGAAGTGTGATATAAGGAAAGAAATTCAGAATATGAACAACGGAGATAGAAGAGTAGCATAGCGGGTTTACTTGCTGAGCAATTAGTACTCACCCCGTTGTTTTCAATATTTTTGCAGGTAGTAGGTGAGATGCGGTCGCTTGGAACATCAAGAAGCAGAAGGGTTTGGCAACACTGTCGAGTTGATGTTTTGTGACTTTATTACATTATGTAAAGATTTGTATAAAAATAAATATTAGTTATGGACCTATTATTTTATACTCATCTACATGTATATTTTCTTATATATATATATATATATATATATATTAGTGAGTTTTACTGTTTATTTTATGAGTATACTAGCTAGAGAGAGAAAGCATTACAAAACCACACATCCAATGTGGCAAGAGAGAGCAATCCTAGAGCTCCAAAATAAACCAATTTTAGGAATGCTTTTACCTTTGGATTTGGAATACCAATTCAACAATTAATATATTCTACAACATCACCAATAAAATTCAACCACATAACAACCACAAATCCTATGTGTCAAAATGGAACATGTAACGCCCCACTCGAGGTACATGGTTAAGATTTGCTGTATTGCTTAAATGTTCTTTGATTCAACTTTAATTGAGTTTATATGTTGTTATTTTTGTTGGTTGGCCCTTGGTAGAATGGATTTATTGGTTTGGTTGAGTGATTGCCCTAAAAATTATGAAGACTTGGCAAAATGTTTTGTTACAGGTTTCGCCGGGGCGAAGAAGAAGCTTCACCGCGGCGAAGAGGTGTTGCAGCCCACGGAGGCTCTGCTGGAGTGTTTCGCCGCGGCGATAGGACAGCCAAAAAGTTTATTGAGTTTTAGATATTTTCTTCCTTTGGGGCACAATGACCATTCTACCCTTATTTAGCAGGAAAAGTGGGGAGTATAATGTAAGGAAATTTCATGGAGAATATGTTGTATGGGGGGTGTGATTGTAAGGAATCAAAGGATATGGATGTAATTTCCAAGAAAGAGTAAGGGCAAAATGGGAATGTTTATCTATAAGTTGAGCTAAAAAGGGTTAAGTGTAGAGAACCCTTCATTGCATCCATTTCCACCGCCTCTTCCATTCTCTATTTCCTCTCAAATTTCCTTCATTTTTCCAAGGATTTCTAAGGACTTTTTTGAGTAGTTTTAGTAGAGTTTTAATCTAAAGCATCCTAAGGTAAGGATTCTTGCTTTAGATGAGAGTTTTATTATGTTTTGGTTAAAGTCTTATGTTGTGGTTGTTATTCAAAGTTGTAGAGAGGAATCAAACTACCAAAGGAAAGGAGAAGTGTTAGAGAAGCTATTCCCTCACAAGGTAAGTAAATCTAACTTAAGTTGAGGTTTAAGAATTCATTTGAGCTCTAGGAATTCATTTGAGTAGAGCTTGTGTATGTTTTATGTTGTTGAGATGAGATGAGATGAGATTAGTAGTTATTTCTTATTAATTATATTGCTTATTGATTATGTTGAGTATGAGAAGTGTTGAGCTTCTATGATGTTGAGTTGGGTTGATAGAAGAAGTTGGAGAGAGTTTTTAGTAAACCTATTTGGAAGTGTTTTCCTTGACAGGGTTTATGGTTAATTGAGGGAGTTTTCTCCCATTTTTGGATGGTTAGAGAATGTAGTAGAGTAGCAATTATAGTAGAGATTTTGTATGCACATGAGTTGTTTGATGAAATGCCTAAAAGAAACATGAGCATGAATTGTGAACCTTAATTCTTGTAACATTGCATATTGGCATTCTCTAATTGCATTAATGAGCATGAACCATCCATATGTAGTAATTGTGCGTTGAGAAATAGCTTGAGAAAGAGTTGAGAATTGGAGTGTGAGTTACTCCAAGAGTAGAGTAAAAGAGAGAATGAGCACTAGAGAATAAAAGCTAGAGTAGTGCTAAACAAGAGAGTAGAGTAGGTTGTGCGATGGGGAACCTGTGAGTATGGGTAGAGTATTCCCGCATGTACGCCACATTGAGAGAGCGACATGAGTATAGAGAGAGAAGTGGTGTAGCCCGTGAGAGTGCATGCGGATGAGGGCTATACCCGAGAGAGAGTTATGCACTCACATGGCCAAAGGTTCCGAATCCATGCATAACCGAGTCCGATCGGCTAGAATGATTAGAAGTCACAGAGAGCGAGAGCGAGTCCCGGCCGTGCCTTCGATAAGATGAGGTCGTGACTTACAAAAGAGACTTAGTAGCAAAGAGTTATAAGAAAGAGAAAATAGAGAGAAGTTTAAAAGAGAGAGTAAATGAGAATTGTAAGGAAAGAATTAGAGAGAGAGTTGCAGGGATAGATAAGTAGTGGTTTTACTTACTGAGCCTTGATTGTGCTCACCTCGTTGTTTCCTATGTTTTGCAAGATCTAGGTGAGGACACAGTCGGATGGACGTCATCAAGTGAAGAGAACTGGCTACACTGTCTACCTTGTTTTTGATAGTTTTGTACATGATACAACTTTTTGTATAAAGAATGTATATGTTTAATAAAAGAAAAATTTGGGCCCAACTTAATATGCTATTTTACATGTATTTTTACTATGTATATTTTAAAAGAATATGAGTAGAATGGAGTTGTTATATAACAATTCTATGAGTTCCAAAACGTGCCACCTGACGAACAACCCGCATGGGTATTCAACATATATATATATAGGGGTGTTCGGTTCTACGTACCCTGTATTTTTTGAAGGAACCAGAACTGGAATCGGAACCTATAACAACGGTTCTGGTTATCTTGTAAAATTACAATGATCCCCCAAAAGTTTTTAAAATGGCAAAAAAACCCTTAAAAACTTACAAATACCCCCCTGGAACTTGTTAACAAAAATAAAATTACAAATTATAAATTACAAATTACAAACTCCATTACTTTGTAAAGATAGATTCTCGAAAGTCAAATCAACTTACTTTAAATGTTATGAAATATAAATATAAATGTATTCACATTATTTTTTTTTTTATAAAAGTTTTTATTAACCCCCTACTCTTTAATTTTATTTTATATTAGTCTCGGTTCCCGGTTCCGATTCCTAACTATAAGAACCGGAACCAGAACCAACCACACAGTAACGGTTCCAAAAATTTAGAACTGGAACCTACCCGTTGATGGCCGGTTCTGGATAGGAACAAGAACCAAACCCCGGGTACCCGTCGGTTCCAGTTCCGATTCCAATCGGTTTTTTTGAACACCTATATAGACTGGTTCATAAATATTACTATTTATATAATCAAATAAAAATTGAAAAGAATATATAATTAGACAAAGGGTATTATGGTAAAGTAACTAATTTTTTAGGTGAATTTGTTACCATCCAAAACCCTCGGGTGTGTTGTACTTACCTCAAACCTTGAGGAGGAAATTGTTATCAACCTAAACCCTTACTTAAGTTATGGGGGAGATTAATGATAATTTTATAACCATAGGGATGTCGCTGTAATTTAGACTATAAAGAACTGCGTTAAAAAATGAAAAGAAAGAGAGGCGAACAAAATTTGTCAGATAATTGTCAGTCCCTATTCAACACTCACTCAACTCAAACAGTCTCACTACAAATCCTCTCTCTCCCAAACCAAAAAAAAAAAAAAAATCACAAAACCAAAAGCAAAATTTCAGCAATCAGATCACCAACAGTTTTTCTTCTCTCTCAATTTTCAGTAAAAAAATAAAAAATTCAATCTCCTTTGAATTCTCCAAGCTGAAACCGACGGAGCTTGTATAATGCGCGAAACTTGTTTTCACTTCGTTTCCATTCACTTCCAGGTGAAGCTTCTTCAACGATCTGTTTCCAGCTCTCGATTTTTTTATTTTTGTTTTTCTCGAGTTTTGAGGTTCTGAATGTTTTGAATCCGTTTGAGCTTTTGATTAGTCTATTTTATTTATTTACATATTTTTTTTTTGGTGGCGGAAAAATTTGTTTGGTATAGGCTTAGATCTGATCAGAATTTTTTAGCTGGTTTTTGAGAAATTAATATTTGTTTTGTTTTAATAATCTCTCTCTCTCTCTCTCTTTTTTTAAATAGTAAGTATTTGTTTTTTTTTCTTCTGAGGAGAATATAATTTTCTAAAAGCATGATGAAAATTTCTTTATATTCTAATATTTTAATATTAGTAGATGCTCCGAAATTGTTTTTTCTTAAATTTTGGATTATTTAATTTTTTTTCTAACTTATGTTAATTTCTAGGATTTATCCAGAAAATCATTATCAAAGTTTATTGTTTCCTTTACTTTCAGAAGTAAAACTTTTGTATAAATTCCAAGCAACGCACTTTTTTTTTTTTTTTTTTTTTAAACATATAATTATTATTTTAAGGATTATATCCCAAAATATTTGACGTTTCTTGTTTTGGAAAGAATTTATTTAAATTTTTAAGCGAGATAGTATTAACTGTATGTTAGTATTGGCTGTCGAGTGTATTTTTGAAAATTTTCTGAAATTTGGGAGGTTTTTGAGGGAGTTGAAGGGATATTGACTGGTTTCAGAATTTTAGTGGGTAATTTTTAAAACTAGTGAGTTTGGATTTTTTTTACCAAAATTACCCCTTAATAATTTTGGGAAATAATTATATGTGGGTGAGAAATGTGTGAAAGAGCTGATTTGGAAGCTAGTTTAGAGCTGATAAAGAATTAACTAACTAATAAGCAGTTTTAATATATGGATATTCCTTAATTATATAATGTAATTACCAGAATTTTCTTATTTTAGGTGGATCTGGTTGCTATATTTGTGTTCATTACCAACTCATTTATCAAAGTAATTTTCAACCGTTTATAGAAATCTTTAATTTCTTAATCCATTATTTTGTTTGATTTGTATTGGTTTTAGTTGTTTATAACTTGTTTAGTTGATAAGCAAAATTGCATTACTAATCATCACTTAAAACAAGCTTTATTTAAGCTTCCGGGAAGTACATATACATTTAAGAGAGTATTTGGGGAGTATCAGTGTTAGTGCTTCATTGTTTCATATTGTATGCAAGCTTCTTGATGAAATTCAACCTGGATGATTGGTTTTTCGAGACTGACTTTATTAAACCAAGTGTGTAATTGCTTATATTAATTTTTTTTTTCTTTTTTCCATGCATTATTTGTGGTTTTAATCCCTATAATAGGGTTGTCCTGGCAAACATCTTGTATTTGCCTTGCTAATTTGTGCCCAGTTGTTGCGTTCAGTTTCTTCTTTCAATGAGTTACATATTTTCTGTATAAGATGTTACCAAGAGGAATGATTGTTTGTTGTTGTTTAATGGTTATCATTGTAAGAAAATTTCCATGATAAATCATATTCGATATCCATATTTCTTATGAAGAATCTTTTTCCCCCTTCACTTAAGAATTTTTGTTATTCCTATTAGGAAGATAGGTGTTTGGATGGAATGGAAGGCACAAACACAAAAAATCAGGAGGGTAGCAAGTACTAGTATCAGCAGTATTTACCAGTCATATTTATGGCATCTGCCAGCATTGGGAATGGGGGAGTGGGCAGTTCTAGGTCCGTTAATGGCTTTAAGAGTTCATCAAGTTCAGTTGACTGGCTGGGGCGAGAAATGCTTGAAATGAGATTGCGGGACCAGGTGGACCACGATGAAGACCGAGTAAGCAGTGTGTTTCTTAAAGTTGTTTGTACTTCCTCCAGATCTCTTTTTTTTTTTTTTTTTTTTTCCTGTAGTAAATATGATTGGATTGGTTGGTCTTTCTTCAACTATCTGCTATACAAGAAACAATTTGCATGGTGGTGGAAGTAATGTGGTCTCCAAGGGCATTTTGCTGTGTTGAATAATAATATATTAATTTCTGAAGTTATCGACTTTACAATTTTGTAACTATTTCCAGTATTTTCAGTGTTCATGCTTCTGATTTGTTGCAGGATAGTGAACCGGATATAATTGATGGTGTGGGTGCTGAAACTGGACATGTGATAAGAACAACTATTGGCGGCCGAAATGGCAATTCTAAGCAGGTTTGAAGAGAATTTACAAATTTTGTATCTTGATTTTCTTATAACTGGTAAATCTCTTATGTATTTTGCAACGGATGTTTTCTTTGGGTTGACAGAAAATAAGTTATATCGCTGAACATGTCGTTGGAACTGGTTCTTTTGGTGTTGTTTTTCAAGTAAGTAGAGCTATCATGTTTTAGTCATTGTTTGCATTTTCGACTTTTACTTTCTTATGCACTCCATTTCACTAATTAAATTGTGCTGCTTTGTGCAGGCAAAATGTAGAGAAACTGGAGAGATTGTCGCTATCAAGAAGGTTCTCCAAGACAAGCGCTATAAGAATAGGGAGCTACAGATTATGCAAATGCTGGACCATCCAAATATTGTTGCCCTTAAGCATTGTTTCTTCTCAACAACAGACAAGGAAGAGCTTTATCTGAATCTTGTACTTGAATATGTTCCTGAAACTGTTAATCGTATTGCGAGGACGTACAGCAGGATCAGCCAACGAATGCCCTTAATATATGTTAAACTTTATACATATCAGGTGTGTAGTAATTTGTTTTGATTTCAAGCTTCTAAATCCTCCCGTACCCTTTTCTTTTGGCAAGTCTCTTCTGACCCCTTATTTTTTGTGAAACTTTTACCATAGGTGTAGTGGGTTGTCTGTGTCTGTATATATATTTATATATGTAACAAGTTCAATCTTACCTGGAAACTCTATGACAGATACTAATCCATTTTTTTTTCACCAGTGTAAGGTATAAACATATAAAATTTCAATTGATTTTTCTCCCTATTTCTTGCTTTGGTTGCAGATCTGCAGGGCTCTTGCTTATATACATAATTGCATTGGTATTTGTCACCGTGACATCAAGCCTCAGAACTTGCTAGTAAGATTTGCTTTGAAAACTTGTGGATGTGTTTGTTTTTTTTGTTTTTTTTGTTTTTTTTTTTTTTTTTTTTGCACGAGTCTCCACGTGTATACAACAGTATGGTTTTCATGCAAGTATGATATTTATTATTTAGAGTTCTTATATGATATCTATTACTTTGAGGAGTTAAATTTTCAGCTGAAACTATTGAAGTCAATAACTTACTGCATTTTAGTGCTTTCCAATCAATGTAAATTTAAGCGATTGAGACATCTAGGTATTTGAGGTGCTTTCTTTAGGCCCATATAATACTTATAAAGAAAAATAATTTGCTACAATATTTCATGCTGAGATTTTGAAATTTTGGTAGGGTTTGGATGTCTATGAAAAATTTCCCATTTCCATTCTGTTATGCATGGAAGAGTGCTATATGGGTGTTCCATTTGATTTTACTCATTAGATTCTGATTAGATAGATTCAATTAATCATTTTAATGATGATAATTGCATGCCATTAGCATATTTCATTTGGGTTTGGGTTCAGGCTCAGTCATGTATTGCAAATTTCCAGGTCAATCCACACACACATCAGCTGAAACTTTGCGATTTTGGGAGTGCCAAAGTCCTGGTAAGTTTTTATTCCACACTATTCATTGACATTTGCAATGTGCTTCTTTTTTGAATTTGATCACTCTTCCATTGTTTCATCAGGTGAAGGGAGAACCCAATGTTTCTTACATTTGCTCGAGATATTATCGTGCTCCAGAACTCATATTTGGTGCCACTGAGTATACAACTGCTATAGATATATGGTCCACAGGTTGTGTGATGGCTGAGTTGCTTCTTGGACAGGTGCGTGGCGCTCTGCTTCCTGTAGACTTATAACCTTGTTTCTCACCTTTATTTATTATTTTGTCTGCCAGTACTTATGGTTACTCTTGACTGATGCAGCCTTTGTTTCCTGGAGAAAGTGGCGTTGACCAACTAGTCGAGATTATCAAGGTCATATTCGCAATTAACTCCTATACTTTAACGTACAACAGTAAAACCCCCAGCTTTATTATACAAGTTTCCATGGCATATCTAGAAAATTTCTTCTTTTTTAAAGATTCCAGTCTACTTGAAATATTAAATCCATTTTGGATAGTGTAGCATAATCTGTAAACGAGTTTCTGGTTTTGACCAGTCTTACAGCTGAGTTTTGTGCCATGTCATCAAATTCAAATTCAAATTAAAAAAAAAAAAAAAAAAAATAGCATTCCAAATTTTGGGAACAGGAAAAGGAAACTTTAGTGCCTAAGGCTGCAATTCACTAACAGAATGATTTTCATCCCCATGTTGCATTGCATGTCTGATGAAAGCTTTTTCAGCAGACACATTTCAACATCCCTTAAGGATTTTTTCATGCTGGCAGGTTTTAGGCACACCAACCAGGGAGGAGATAAAGTGCATGAATCCAAATTATACAGAATTTAAGTTCCCACAGATAAAACCTCATCCATGGCACAAGGTTTGTAGTTTTCTTTTTATGTTTTCCTTATTTGTATACTGTAATACAATTTTGAAATTGATTTTAGCAATTCCACGTCTAGGTTGAACATTGTTTTTCAATTGGAAGCCTTAAGGGAACAGTCTTTGTATATAAACATTACTATGCTCTGGCTCTACTAATGCTATTACTCTTGTGGTTGGATCCAAGCAAATGATAAGAAACACTTATCCTCGGGGTATTGTTTGTACGTGGTTAGTTTCTGTTTATAAACAGGCTTGGTGAGTGGAGGTATGATTTGATTCAAGTTTTAGCAGTAAAAAATGAAGGCCCAGAAGAACGAGGATTTGGGCACTGAGAAAAGTTATATTTGTCTACATTTCAAAAGAGAATTTGATCTTGATGGTGCTATGTGGGGTAGATTTGTGATTTTGTTGTTGCCATATGATACCCGACTCTTGGTATGACAATAGTCTCTTTGTTGGTAATGTGAAGTTTATATGGGCATTATTAACACTGGCGACACAGATACAGTGTTATGCTATTAAGAATACTTATTAGCTTATTAAATCAAAGGATGATATGAGCTTGCTGAATGGGTTTGTAATTTTCTTTTAGCTCTTCTATAATTTTGGAAGAAATTATATCAACAATATAAGGAGGAAAATTACGAAGGTGAACATTTAGTCCACCAAATAGGTTAGCAACCAAAAGATTCTACTAACAACTCCAGAAGACTATCGAATCATAAGTCAACCACATCCCAATCATGCTTCACTGTTCTAATGTGGCTTCTTTCTATTTATCAGCGTCCTTTAAAATCTTTGCACTTACTCTTTGTATTTACATTGATTAGTAATTAGTTCTGCTGTGAACAGAAAAATCATTTGCATCTGATTTGTTCTGACATTATTCTTATCCACCAGGTATTCCAAAAACGTTTACCCCCAGAGGCAGTGGACCTTGTCTGTAGGTTTTTTCAGTACTCTCCCAATTTGCGATGTACTGCTGTAAGTTTCATCTTTCATATATTTAGCACCCTTGTTGGTTTTTTTATTATATAATAATGCACATTTAAAAAAAAAAAAAAAAATCTCTGCAGCTGGAAGCCTGCATCCACCCTTTCTTTGATGAATTAAGGGACCCAAGTACTCGTCTTCCCAGTGGCCGCCCTCTTCCTCCTCTGTTTAACTTTAAGCCTCAGGGTAAGTTGTACTCACTGTGATGTTATTTATTTATTTATTTTTAATGATTTTTGTGGTTTACTATAAAAAGAAGATGCACTTCATTGTGTATCCGTATAAAAAATGGAGAAAAATGTCTAACCACAATACCTTAAAACTCTACATATTTACTTGAGCCGTTGAGGTGTCATCTGAACATCAGTTTTCGTCAAGAAGAAAGATACAAATACCAAAAGTCAACACATTTGAATACCATGGAGCATGTTTTTTGTTACCATAATTCCTCACATATGCATTTTACTTCAGCCCTGTAATACTGTTCTTGATCATGTTTTTCCATGGCTTCTCATGCCTCTGACATTTTCTCCTACCATATTTGCTAGAGCTTTCCGGCATACCACCCGACATCGTCAACCGACTCATTCCAGAGCATGCTCGTAAGCAGAACTTATTCATGGCCTTGCACTCTTAGCACAACTATTCCGACTCTGTTCTTCGTTGCTTCCATGTGCCATCTATCACCCTGCTGCCATTTTGGTCTTTGTTGTATTGACGAATGTAAAAATCTTGTCTCAACTACCCTTGTTAGTTCCAGTGAGGAAAGGAGTGTTGCAAAAAGGAGTCTTTAGAACAATTTGAGGTTTTGAGTTTGTGTATTTGTGTTATGAGGATTTGAAGACTACTAGAACTTGTAATTTGTTAATTGTTATATCCCTGTTATATGGGCGATTTTAGTGAGATGAAAAATATGAGAATATCTGTAAAAAAGTAATTTAATTTGTTGTGGTCTTTCCTTTGAGCTTGATTCATCGCGATATTGATTTGATAATATTATTTGTCATTAGTTTTAATATGATATAAATTAGTCCAAAATTTATTTTAAAGGATGGTAGTTGCTTGATAATGTAACGTTATCGTATGTATATATTTTAAAAAACCTTCAATATGCATCAAATCTTTTGTTATTCTATCCTAAAGGTATAATCATGGTTTTAAAAATCGGATCGATCGGTCCAATCGGTTGGACCGGGACCCAGTCACATGTCCGGTTTGAGTTAATATAAAAACCGACATTACTCAGTAACCTGCTATGAACCGCCAATGAATTGAGAAAACAATGTGAACCGTCGGTTCAATTGGATCGCTTGATAAACTGGTCCAACGTTTGAAAAGGGGAAAAATCCCTAATTCTTTCCAATTTCTCACTTTCTCTAGTTTCTTACTTTCTCTACACAAAGTCCTCTGAAATTTTTTTAAAACCATGCTGGAAATCTAAAATCTCACTCAAATTGCAATTCAATCTCAATGAATCCCACTCTCTGAAATCGCAACCATTCCTTGCTGAAATCGATCGCAACTCAACTCTCTGAAATCGACGACGACGCCTTTTTCCCTCGTCGGAAATTGATGACAACAACTCCATTCCTTGCTAGAAATCATCGACGACGACGACAGCTCCATTCCTCCTCTCGTCAACGATCTAGGTAAAAAACACAATTCACGAGCAACAGCTGTTAGGAAACGATCCATTTATGCAGCGGAAAACAAAAAATAATAATAAAAAGGATCGTTCCATAGAGCCAAATCAGAGTATAATTTTACACAGTTTATATCAAAATAATCTGTAGAAAATTATATAAGGTTAAGAAATCATACGCACGTTTGGAGACTCCTCCAACTTTGTCTCTGAATGTGTTTTGCTACCGACCCAAATGTAGTGTAAACCCCGATATATTCCAATGCCCTAAGTATGAAATTTCCCTTTTCAAGTAATTTTTTTTTTTTAATGGAAGGGTAAAATGTCAATTTACAGTATTTCGAGATGTGACCATTATAAGTGTAAGGGTGATGTCTTGAGAGAGAATGAGGTAGAATGGTCTAAAGTTGATTGATATGTTAAATGGCGTAAACGGTAACCAAGGGTATAATGGTCTTTTACAAATCCATATGAATAATATCCATAAAGTTCTCCAAGGGTAAATTATCATTTACCGATGGGTGCTTAATTGTTAAGTGTTTAAAAGAAGTCAAATAGCATTAAATGAATGCTAATCATTATGTTGTTGTGGAATGACCAAAACGCCCTTATATGAAAATTTATGCCAATGACCCTTATATCTAACTTTGATTGATCATATCACATTAGAGCAACAATGGAATAAATATTTCAAGGTTTTTAGAGAGAGTAGTTGGCCTTGTACACCACAATATACATCTTCTTCTTCTCTCTCTCAAATCCACCATAAAAGCCACTAATCAGTATTTTATTCTCAATTTTCTAGGGTTCAAGTTTTTTCAAAGGACTCACCATCCCCACTTAAAGAACTTCAATTTCAGGGTTTAAGGTGAGTTTCAAAACCCTAGTTTTTCTGATCTTTGTTAAAAGAGAAATTCTAAGTAGTTATAGTGTAAGGTAGAAAGGGTGAACATTTGGAGCTAAGGAGGAGTGTCCTTGTGCTTGTATACTAAGGTAAGGAAAAAAACTCCCTATGACTACAATTGATAACACCTGGTTATGAAACTTACATTTATTTATGTTAATATGAGTGTGTGTGCATGTTTTGGTTATGGATTGTTTAAATGGGTTGTGTTGATTGGTGTATGTGTGCATATGGAGGATGATTATGCCAATTAAGAGAATGTAGTTGGACGATGTTTTGCACTTTTTGTTTCTGTAAAAAGGGAGGTTTTTATGGCCTTTTATACAAAGAATGATATGGCAAATGATATGAATGTGCAAATGAGGTGACATGGTTAAAATGAATAAATTCGGATTTGGCTTTTTGAGACTTATACTGTACATGCTTCTGAATCAGTCTAACTAAAGTCATAGAAGTCGATTGAGTTAATTCTTGAAGTATAAAAAGTTGAGAAACATACCTAAAACTTTTGTGTTTAGCCAAAAAATGAATTAAAAGATAAAGAACAAATTGCTTGAAAAGTGACGAACTATATGGCATCCCTTCTCTTAATGGAAATTCCCATTTGTTTTTAATTCTAATAAACCCCTGATAATTGTAACGCCCCACTCGAGGTACGTAGCTAATGTTCTCTTACTTTCCTCTTGTTTGACTGGAATTTGTTAATATGGTTTGGTTGCCTTAAATTGTAGAGACTTGGTGGAATTTTGGGGTCACTGTCTTCGCTAGGCGAAGAAGATGGTGGCCGCGGTGATGAGGCCCTGCAACCATGTAGGTTTTTGTGAAGTTTCGCCGGGGCGAAGAAATAGTCTTCGCCGCGGTGACAGCCTAACAAAAAGTTTAATGAGTTTCTAGAATTCTTCCTTTGGAGCACAATGACCATTCTACCCTAATTAGCAGGAAAAGTGGGGAGTGAAATGCAAGGAAATTACATGGAGAATAGTTTGTTTGGGGTTGCAATTGTAAAGAATTAAAGGGCAATGGTGGAATTCTTAAGGAATAGTGGTAAAATGGAAGGATGGAGAAAATATGAGATAATAAGGGTTCAATTTTAGAAACCCATTCATTCATCTTCTTCTCCACTGCCATTCTCTTTTCCTACTTCCTCTCAATTCCTTTTTCATTAGTTCAAGGATTTTGAAGGGCTTTTTGGAGTGATTGGTAGAAAATCAAGCTAGTCATCCTAAGGTAAGGATTCTTGCTTTGGATGTAAGGTTTTTTGTTTTTGTATATTAAAGTATGGTTTTATTGTTATAGGGTAGAGAAAAGTCAACAAACAAAGGAAAGGAAATACTAGTGAGGTTCTTTATCACAAGTAAGTAAATCCCCCCAAGTTGAGATTTGAGAATTCTTTTGAGTAGAGATTTAGTAGAAATGATGTATGCATGTTTTATGTTTGTATTTGAGAAATTGAGTAGAGATATATGTCTACTTGTTGAGAATTAGATTGAGATAAGTATTATTTGTTGGATACTTTTCCTTTATAAAAGTGTGGATATGTGATGAGTTGAGATGAAGTTAGATGAGAATGAGCATATTTTGGGAGTGTTCTTCTATGTTAGGGATTAGCCCATGGAAGGGAGTTTCACTCCAATTTTGGATGGTTAAAGAGAAATAAAGTTGTAGTTAGAAAAAGTTTTTATGCACATGAGTTGTTTGATGAAATGCCTAAGAGAAGCATGAGAAGAGTTATGAACCTTCATTAATGCAACATTGCATATTGGCATTTCCTAAGTGCATTAATAGGCATAACCATCCATATGCATTAATTGTGCATTGAGAGAGAACTTGAGAAAAAGTTGAGAAAGAGTAGAGAATTACTGTAAGAGTTAAGCTACATATGATGAGTAGCTAGAGAAAAGAGTAGAGATCTTGTGCAAAAGAGTTAAAGAAAGAATAGAGTAAGTCGTGCGATGGGGAACTCGTGAGTGATGAGTAGAGTCACGAGAGTGGGTGCTTTGTGATCCCTAGCCGTGCCTCCGGTAAGATGGGGCCATGACCGTCACGTAGAGTGAACATGAGATTCCAGCCTTGCCCTCGATAGAACGGGCCGTGACATTCAAGAGATATAGAGAAAGAATGTACATTCACATGGCCAAGGGTTCCGAATCCATGCATACCAAAACCGATCAGTAAGAAATGACAGAAGTCACGTAGATGGTAGCGCCCAGCCGTCCTCCGGTCATGATGCCGTACATTCTAATGAATAAGATGAGAAAGAACAAAAGAAAAATAGTAAGTCACGAAAGCGGTTGAGTCCCCGCCGTGCCCTCCGTAGATGGGCCGTGACATACACTAAGGGTGTATAGTAAAGAATACGAGAACAGAAACAAAAGAACACAGAAATGAGAAAAGAATAGTGTAAGAAAGAATTAAAAGAAAGTGTTACGATGATGACAAGTAGAGGATTTACTTACTGAGCATTAGTTGTGCTCACCCCATTGTTTCTATGTTTTTGCAGGTTCGGTGAGTATGCAGTCGGATGGACGTCATGGGCGAGGGAGAGTAGTTACACTTGTCCACTACGTTTTTGGAACTTTTGTAAATGATACTAAATGCATGTAAAGACTATGTATATTAATGAAAGAAGACTTTTGGGCCCAACTATTTTTTAATGTACCTTTACTTTATTATATGTATTTTGTGAATATAGTATAAAAGCAGTTATTACAATAATCTTACTACTGAAATCCCCTGTATTGTATGAAGTTGAATGAATTAAGTTAAGAAGTTTAGTAGAGAATAGTATATGATGAGCATGGAGATGTTAGTCCATATGTTTGCATTCATAATGGATACATATAGCTTATTTAGTTGTCTTTGAAAAATTTATGAAATGTTAAGATGAATTCCATGAGTCTCTTGAGGTATAAACCAAAACGATCAGAGGATGAAATTCTTATGGAACCCTGAGTCCTTTGAGGTACGACCAAGAACAAGGTATGTTTCAAACCATCCGATCGATAACAAAGACTAATGAAACTATCAAGTATAAAGACAAAAGAAATAAGCATGCCATGTACATGAATATTTCATAAGTCATATATGTTCTACGTTTAGTATGTATGGTTATGTTATGACTTATGTTTAGGAGAAAAGTCCAAAGTGTATGATATGTTTAACGAACTTGCTATGTCAAGAGATAAGTCATGTTTGTAGGTAGGTAATGTCTAAGTAATATACTTGATATGACCTTATAGTTTATAAATGGCATATTCCTTACTGAACGATTAGCGCTCACCCCATGAAATATTTTAAATATTTTGCAGGTAAGGATAAGGCATGAAGCTGGGAGGGATTCCGAGGGACGCTATGACATGACCGGATGTTTTAGATGATGACTATTGAATGGTTTTGCTAATATTTAGTGTAGTAATTA